GTTCTATAGTTTTTAGGATATATTTTGAGAACCATTTGAATGGTAAATGGTTCTCCAACCTTTTATTTTCAGGTTGTAGGTGTCTTTCTGTCTAAAATGAGTCTCTTGTAGACAGCAAATAGATGGGTCCTGTTTTTTTATCCAGTCTGAAACCCTGCGCCTTTTGATGGGGTCATTAAGCCCATTCACGTTCAGAGTTACTATTGACAGATATGAGTTTAGTGTCATCATGATATCTATTTAGTCCTTGTTTTTGTGGATTATTCCACTGAACTTCTTCTTAAAGGGGAATTTTAAGAGTCCCCCTTAAAATTTCTTGCAGAGCTGGTTTGGAGGTCACATATTCTTTCAGTTCCTGCCTGTCTTGGAAGCTCTTTATCTCTCCTTCCATTTTGAATGAGAGCCTTGCTGGATAAAGTATTCTTGGTTGCATGTTCTTCTCATTTAGGACCCTGAATATATCCTGCCAGCCCTTTCTGGCCTGCCACGTCTCTGTGGAGAGGTCTGCTGTTACCCTAATATTCCTCCCCATGAAAGTCAGGGACTTCTTGTCTCTTGCTGCTTTAAGGATCTTCTCTTTATCTTTGGAATTTGCAAGCTTCACTATTAGATGTCGAGGTGTTGAACGGTTTTTATTGATTTTAGGGGGGGATCTCTCTATTTCCTGGATCTGAATGCCTGTTTCCCTTCCCAGATTGGGAAAGTTTTCAGCTAGGATTTGTTCAAATACATATTCTGGCCCTCTGTCCCTTTCGGCGCCCTCGGGAACCCCAATTAAACGTAGGTTTTTCTTCCTTAGAGTGTCATTTATTTCCCTTAATCTGTCTTCATGGTTCTTTAATTGTTTATCTCTTTTTTCCTCAGTTTCCCTCTTTGCCATTAACTTGTCTTCTATGTCACTCACTCGTTCTTCCACCTCGTTAACCCTCGTCGTTAGGACTTCTAGTTTGGATTGCATCTCATTCAATTGATTTTTGATTTCTGCCTGATTGGATCTAAATTCTGCAGTCATGAAGTCTCGTGAGGCCTTAATGCTTTTTTCTAGAGCCACCAGTAGCTGTATAATGGTGCTTCTGAATTGGCTTTCTGACATTGAAGTGTAATCCAGATTTTGTAACTCTGTGGGAAAGAGGGCTGTTTCTGATTCTTTCTTTTGAAGTGAGGTTTTCCTTCTAGTCATTTTGCTCAGTGCAGAGTGGCCAAAAACAAGTTGTATTGGAACACGGGGGAGTATCACTGGTCCGTCCAGCTGGTCTTCTGGGGGAGGGGCCTGCTGTGCTGATTTTCAGGTGTTAGCACTTGGGGGAGCTGCTCTGCCCCTGCCTGCTGCCGGGCTCAGCGGGGGTTGTTTACCCCGTGGGGCCCCAGGAGGAACAGCCGCAGTTGCTATGGCAACTCTGGAAGCCTGGATTCAGCCTTCGCAGGAACTACGGGGCTCGGGGCTCTCGGCTCTCCGTCTGCAGGGCCTGGAGGCTCCGGGGCGGGGCCGCTGATCTGCTCAGCTCGGGGCAGGAGCGTCCTCGCTGTCCTGGGCCCTCCCGGCCTCTGCCTGTCCCGGGGGAGGCCGGATCCTGGGCTGTGTCCCGGCGCCCTGTGCTCCGGGGCCTGCGCTGTTGGATTCGCGCTCCCGCCCCGCAGCCCCCTCCCTGGAGCCGCTCCCGAGCCCCTCCGAGCTGCTCCGGTCGTCCCGCCGTGCGCGCTGCAGCCCTTAGGGAGCTCGGCGCACTCTCCTGCGCTCGCAGGTGTCTGTTAGTGTCCCCGGGAGCCCGAGGGCATCCCCGCCCTCCTGGGTCCTGCTCCAACTCCCTGCGAGGCCCCTTTCCGCCGCCGGGAAGGTTGGTGCAGCTCCTGCTTCTCCGGGGCGGGGCTCTCCTGTCCTGGGGACACTCGCCCCGGCCTCAGCCCGGCTCCTCGCGGGGCCCCTCCCCCTCGGAGGCCTTTTGTTCCTTTATTTCTTTTTCCCCGTCTTCCTACCTTGATAGAAGCGCGGACTCTTCTCACTGTAGCATTCCAGCTGGTCTCTCTTTACATCTCAGGCCGAATTCGTAGATTTTCAGGATGGTTTCAAGGTTATCTAGGTAATTTGGTGGGGACAGGCGATTTGGGGACCCTGCTCTTCCGCCATCTTGCCCCTCCTCTGGATTTTATTTATTTTAGAGAGAGCGCGCGCGTGCATGAGCAGGGGGAGGGGCATAAGGAGAGGAGTGAGAATCTCAAGGAGACTCTGCTGAGCAAGGGGCCTGATGTGGGGCTCTATATCATGACCTGTGAGACTATGATCTGAGTCAAGATGACAGGTTGGCCGCTCAACTGACTGAGACACCGAGGTGCTGCCCGTATTGCATAGATTGTAATGGAATACAAATCAGTCTAGTTTTAAACCTTTTAGCTCTTTGTACTTGTGTTAATTTTCTCATGTGTTTATAATATAGAATGACCTTTGTTATAAAGGCTTCCAGTTAGGAAATTTATATTTAATTTATGTTGGTTTTTACCTTTCATTGACAACATTTGTTTTAGAATAACATAGTTCTCCATCTAAAATTCATCTGATTCAGTTAACTTCAAAAGCATATGTTATATGTAAAACATTGTATTAACTTCTGAGGAAAAAAAGGGCATTTTTGTCAGCCTCAAAAGGCTAATTATGTGGGCCTAGCAAATGCCATCTTCCCTTCTCCTCTATAAAGCCTTCCCAACTACCCTACCCCAATTGAAATGAATCGCTTCTTATTCAGCACTCTTCTCAGTTTGTTCAAGCATTTCCTAAAATACTTTATATGATATTATGTACCTTGATGCATGTTGCATTTATTTCTTATAAGATTTTTGAGGACTAGGAACTGGGACCACATTCCACTTATGTTCCCTAGTCCCTATCTTGTATAGATAATGTGTCAAATAATGGATACAAATGCAATGCGTACAAAACAATCTATGAGTACTATAGCTAAGTTACAAAAATAAAAATACCACAGGAACACAGGTGAGAAAACTAATCTTGATGGAAAAATTATTTGAACTGGGCATTCCTTGAAATCGGTAGAGACAAGAATAGGCTATTCCAAATAATGGGAATGGTTTGAGCAAAGATAGAAGACCAACAGTAAAGTATAAAGTGTTAAAGGAATGGCAAATAGTTTGTTATGGCTGAAGTTAGGATACTGGGATGAGGGGTATGGTAGTCAATAAAGTTAGTAAAATTATTTTGGAATCAGGTGAGATCAATTCCTCCCAAGGAATTTAGACTTTGTTCTCTTTGCGATATGAAGTCACCATTCTGTAGGAAGGTTTATCAGGCATCAGGATACAAGCTATATTACAGAGGAAAAGGAAATTAAATACAGAGAGACTAGTTAGGAAACAAGACTGTCTAATAATCTAAGTATGAGTAACACCAGTCTGAGCTAGTGTAGCAGCAGTGCAAATAGAGAAAGAAGGAATTTATATTATAATATTTCAAAGGACATATTTGGTAACTGATTGTGGGTAAACTATGAATTGGAAGAATCAAAGATAATAACAAAATTCTGAGCCTTATTGATCAGAAGACCTTTTCAAGTCAGAACTCACATTTATGTGATCCCTTTATACAGTAGTATCCTATTGTTTATGTGATCTTTTATAGATTTTCATTTTTCCAACCATCTTTTGAGTCAGAGCAGTAGGTATTTTTTATTCCTCATTCCTTCCTTACGGATGAGCAAACAACATTCAGTTAAGACTTGCTCGAGTTCATGTTATTATTAAGCGGTAGCACTAGGATTGAAACTCAGCTCTTTCCACTCCCAGTTGGTTTTGCCATGCTGAATTTGAAATCTTGGCAGAATGTTAAATTCCTAGAGGTTTTGGGAGTCTGCATGAAAACAAGAGTTGAAGCAATGGGGATGGATGAGATTTCCAAGGAAGAAATTGTAGACAAAGAAAAGAAAGAGAATCATGGATTGGATTTTGAGGAATGCATGCATTTACATGCATTACATTACCTGTGTAGCTGAATAAGAAGAGACAATGAAGAAAACTTGAAGGGAACAATCAAAGAAACAGGAAGAGGATCAAGAGTAGAAAAAGTATTCCTAGAAATCATCAGAGGATTTTAAAATACAGAAACTGGTCAAAGTAAGATACCTGTGTTATGGAGACAGGAAGACAAGGATAAGGAAAAGCCATTTAACAAATAGAAGATTATTAGAAACCTTTGAGGGAAGTCTTTTGAGAGAAGACTGTATAGAATTAAACTAAATTGAAGGAAATATGTGACTTAAAAAAGAAGAGGCAATGAGTTTAGACTACAGTTGACGCCTGGACGATGCAGGCGTTAGGGCCCTCGACCCCTGTGTAGTTGAAAATCTTTATATAACTTTTAACTCCTCAGTAACTTAACTTCTTATAGTTTACTGTTGAGTGGAAGCCTTACTGATAACAGTTGATTAACACATATTTTGTATGTTATATGTATTATATACTGTATTCTTACCATAAAGAAAACTATAGAAAGAATGTTTTTAAGAAACCATAAGGAAGAAAATACATATTCACAGTCCTGTGCTCTAAGAAATCCACATGTAAGTGGACCCATGCCATTCAAACCTGTGTTGTTCAAGGGTTAACTGTACTTTTAAGAAATTTTTTTTTTATATGTTTAGATTTTTAAGGGGATGAGAATTTGGGCTAATAGGTGGGTGCATCGTATGCCTCTTTCTCCCAAAGTACCCTGAGTAGAACTTCACACTTTTTTGGGGTGTGTGATTGGACTCTTAGGCCTAAGTCTTTGCTAATATCTCATGTAGAGCTAAGCTCAAAGAGCTCTAAGAGGCCAGCAAAATCAAATACTGCATCATTTGCGTTTCTGACAGCATTAAAGAGTTTTAAGTGAAAAACCTTTTAAAAAGATTGGCTATATTTTTGGCTTCATTGCTTTCTAAATCCTGAAAAAAATAAAAAAATTTCTTATATATTTACATTATACCTTTGTGTTTATTTATGCTTATTCTTTAAAGGATGGAATGACCTTATGTATGTTCATGCAAAACACCTTAACAAGACTTATGAGGTAATGTACCTTTCTTTTAAAAATACTATTTCTTAAAAAACAAAAACAGTTCTTTATTGTTCTGTGTTTTGGACCAGTTAAAAAATACCTGATTTTCAAATTACATTTATTTTAATGATGAAGTATTAATCTGTGCTATTAAGGACAGTCATTTAATTAAATGTTAGTGAAGAATGCACAGGTATACAAAATAAGAGAAGGGATAATAAGAATTTTAAGATATAGCACACATTTCATAAAGAGCTTATACTACTAGCTTTATTTAGGTATAGACATGAAAAAATTATATAGTGCTTTTAGATCAGAATAAAGACACTGGTCAAGAGATGGCACATAAAGTTTATCTCATATTCAAAATTAGTAGAGTGCAGAGTGAAGTGGTCTATATCTAAGGGAGAGAAAAAGAACTATGGATTGGTGAAGGCCTGTACAAATTTAAGTTTCTGAGGAAAATGGATTCAATTTGCATCTAGATGATGGAGAAAAGGGAGAAAATTCTTCTTGGCCTGTCACTGTGCATTTCTGGTTACAAACTTTGACATGTTTTGGCTAATTAGCTTTCTACTTCAGTATTCCAAATTAAAATAATTTAAAAATTATAAAAACTAAGGATTCATATTATTTAGCATACCTACTAGTTGACATCACATTTTTTTGTTGCTCTTCATATGTGAGATCCTAGAAAGAATAATGGAATCAAAGCATTATTCTGAAATACTTTTTTGCATTGTTTAGTTCCTCTTCACCTTTCTTTCCCTGTTACACTTGACATTTTCTTAGTTAAATCATAAAAGATTTAAAAAATCCTTTTAGTTTGGAAACAGAATTTATTAATAAATTTTCTATTACTTTAGAAATAGAAATTTTAGAATTTTTTTTTTTTTAAGATTTTATTTATTCATGAGAGACACAGAGAGGCAGAGACATAGGCAGAGGGAGAAGCAGGCTCCATGCAGGGAGCCCGATGTGGGACTTGATCCCGGGACTCCTGGATCTTGCCCTGAGCCAAAAGCAGACGCTCAACCATTGAGTCACCCAGGTGTCCCTAGACATGCAGTTTTGCACTTGGTTAGAACCTACAACCTACAAAATATTCCATACTTTCAAAGTATTTTGGATTTAAGTTGTAATACATACTCCTCCAAAGTGGGTCTTTGCAAGGACAGGAAAGGTGAAGAAATTTATTTTTACCACAGGCCCATTCATTTATATAGAATTAGTTTATCAATCATTTCAATAGGTAATAAAAAAGACTTTTGATAGGAATCTTTATAATGACACAGTTTTGGAGCTTAGTCTTCTCTACCACATTTCATCCCTTTGGATATAGCTTTAATTTTGCCATCTAACTTGACATCAATAAAAATAGAGTAGGTAAGATCACATTGAATTATTCCTGATTTCCAGTTGCTGAAAAGTTATAGGAGGTGTATACTATGTTAAAAACATTTATTTATTTGGAAGAAAGTTACAATATATAGTTAAAAAATATAGTTAGTAACATATAAAAATATATGTAAGACATATATATCAAATATAGTATTTATAATATATACTTGGTATATTTTATATTTATTACTTACATATAAAAATATAGTTCATAGTTTAAAACTAGATTCAGGGAGGTAGTTTGATAAACTGACACAGCGTTTAGTATGAATCATTATATCTTAAGAATTATACTATTTTATTCCTCATGATGCGCACACTCAGGGTTCCACCCTCCTTGGAAGTGTGTTTGTCATTATAAACATAGTTCAATAATTTTGTTTCTACTGCATCTCAAGTTTTTTTTAAAGTAATATTTGTAAATTAAAATTGAAATGAAAAGTAGTTCCATTTTTTCTTCATTAAACAGACTCCCTTTAATAAGTGTTGCACTGATTCAAGGTCGGGCATTAGGTGGAGGAGCAGAGGTTACTACAGCATGTGATTTCAGGTAAGATGAAAATTGCTTTACTCCCTCCACAAATAAAATCAAGAAACTCAAACTTGTTTTTTGTGCAAATATAAATGTTATTTATATTCTTAAACAGGATGATCAGTTCGTGAGCATTTTCATTTTCTTCTTGTCAGTTTATTAAAGTAGATAATTTTATTCAATCTAGTATAGTTCTATCATTACTTTGTTACTGTGCATTTTTAAAAAGTTAATAAGGGAAAATGATTTTGAACAAGTTAAACCCAAGTTAGCAAAATTCCTGGAGAAGGAAGTCAAGGAAATATATGAAACTTTAAGATTCAAAAGAACTATACAGAGAAAAAAAAGAGAGAGAGAATGAAGAAAGAGGCACTGCTGTAATTGTCCTCCTACCAATAAATGTAGGCTCTCTGAGGTCCATTTCTTATCTTTACTGTGATTGGTAGTACTACTGTGGAGCTTTTGGGTGGATTAGGGGAGAAAATTAGAGAAAATTAGAGAGAAATAGAGAGCATGAGTGAGAGTAGGAACAGAAGGAGAGGAAAAACAGAAAATCCCAAGTAGACTCTGTGCTGAGCTCAGACTTACACACTTCAGCCTCTCTAATACAGAAGGTAGTATATATCACATAATTGGAGATAAAATCACAAAATAGTAAAGAGTCTGAGCACTGGAGTTAAGATACATTTAGGTTCAATCCCAATTTGCCATTTTATCTACAGTCAATCCTTGAATAACCCTACTTTGTGCAGGTCCACTTATACTTAGATTTTTCTTAATAAATACAGAACATTATTGTAAATGTATTTTCTCTTCCTATGGTTTTCTTTTCTTTTTTTTCAAGATTTTAAAAATTTATTTTAGAGAGAGCTAGAGAGCATGAGTGGGGGTAGGGGCAGAAGGAGAGGGAACAAGAGAATCCCAAGTAGACTCCATGCTGAACTCAGAGCCCGAAGCAGGGCTTGATGCCAGGACCTAGAGTCAGACCTGGGCTGAGGTCAAGAGTCAGATGCTTAATTGACTGAGCCACCCAGGCCCCTCTTCCTTATGGTTTTCTTAATAACATTTTTTTTTCCTCTGGCTTACTTTATTGTAAGAATACAGTAGATAATACATATAACATACAAAATATATGTTAATCAACTGTTTATGTTATCAGTAAGGGTTTCGGTCAACAGTAGGCTATTAGTGGTTAAGTTTTGGGAGAGTCAAAAGTTCTATACAGATTTTTGACTGCATGGGAGTGGGTAAGTGCCCCCAAACCCCACATTGTTCAAGGGTCAACTGTATTTGACTATCTATCTGTCTGTTTGTCTATCTATCTATCTATCTACTATCTATCTATCTATTCTGTATTTAACTTTATTTATTTTTTTAAAGAGTTTTTTTTTTAAATTTTTATTTATTTATGATAGTCATACAGAGAGAGAGAGAGAGAGAGAGAGAGGCAGAGACACAGGCAGAGGGAGAAGCAGGCTCCATGCACTGGGAGCCCGACGTGGGATTCGATCCCGGGTCTCCAGGATCGCGCCCTGGGCCAAAGGCAGGCGCCAAACCGCTGCGCCACCCAGAGATCCCCCTGTATTTAACTTTAAATAAGTATTTTATCTGAGTCTCATTTCTTCATAAAATAAAAATAATCTCTGCTAAATGCTTATAGATTTAAATGATTTAATGAATATGTAGATGTTTGGCATAGCACTTAACCTAGGTACACACTGATATACACATGATATTGATTACCTTACTACTCTCATACTTCTACATAAATGCCAGTATGGTAATATTTCAGCATAGTTTTAAACTTATTATTTATTTGTTTTATGTTTTAGAGAGAGAGCACACAATTGGGGAGGGCAGAGGGAGAGGGAGAGAGAGAACCACAGGAGGCTTCATGCCCAGCAAGGAGCCTGACTCAGGGCTCAATCTCATGACCCTGAGATCATGATCTGAGCCAAAACCAAGAGTTGTATGTTAAACCAACTGAGTCACCCAGGTGCCCTGGCATGATTTTAAACTTATTAATTCTCCTTTCACTGGGGATGATTTTCAACCTTAAGGCTAATCTTGGCCTCGCTGCTCTTTTCCTATTCCTTATTGATCCTGGAAGGATCACTTAGGAGGAGACTTTCCATGTTTAAATTTTTGACTCTCCCTTTGAGACTTAAAGCAAAAGCTGTTCCTCTCTGGCATGTAGGGCAGTAGGCTAGAAGAAAAAAGATGGTGACTAATTCAGCTTTTTCATTCCCTTTCAACTCTGTTTCTTTGATGCACAAATTTTCATGTTTTTCTTTTTTTTTTTTAAGATTTTATTTATTCATGAAAGACACACACAGAGAGAGAGAGGCAGAGACACAGGCAGAGGGAGAAGCAGGCTCCATGCAGGGAACCTGATGCGGGACTGGATCCCAGGACCCCTCCCAGGATCATGCCCTGGGCCGAATGCAGGCGCTAAATCGCTGAGCCACCCAGGGATTCCCCTAAAAGCCCCCTTTTCAAATCCTGTCTGACTCCTATAGGATTATAATACAGTCCCCTCGTTGCGACCATCCAACTCTAAACAATATGTTTAGGGTTTAGGGTTTTACTTAAAAGTGTATAAGTGCTGCATTTAGCATCATGAGTGTCACTCGTCTGCTTCTAGATTGCCAGGAATACAATGAGGCCTACATCCTGCCAGTGTTGAAGAGGCAGGAAGCAGGGGCGTCTTGCATGGAAGCCCCAAGGGTGCAGCAGCCCTTACACAGGAAGTGAGGAAATGTCTTTCTTGACTGCAGAGAGGGGGATGATGAGATGACAGCGGCTGAGGAGCCCCTGACTGTTGACAGCATCTGTGGGCAGCCTGCTTTCTGTCCTCCCAGTTTTATTTTTAATTACTCAATGCCAGTTTATTTGGGTTAAAAAATTGTTGTTTGGGAAACAGAAGCAAACCCACTGTGTCCTGAAGTACGAAATGCAAACCAAACCACTGGTATGTGACATCCATTGAATTTGGAGACCTGGGGCGTCTCCTCCGCCAGCTCTTCTGTACCCCCACCGTTTACCCAGATCCCCTGGATGTTGATTCCAGAGTTCAGATGCTCATCGGGAACTCTTGGTCAAGGGCGACCTGGATTGAGATATGTTTGTATTTTAGGGTTAGAGTTAGAAAGAGGGAAAGAACAAAAGAGAGGAGAGAGATTTATGGACTGCATTCACTGTATGATCCAAAGGAACCCTAATTATTCAAAAAGGCCTTCCTCAAAGTTGTGTATTTCTCTGTTAGCCTAAAAAGCTTGTTTTTTAAGCTATGATGATATAAAGAGGGGGACATTTGAGAGCAGAAAGCACATAGGAGCTCTTTATTTATATGAAATTCCACATTTTAGATGTTAGGCCCATGTCTTTTTTGTGACATTTTAGTCTTAAGATGTCTGAGATGACTATAAAGCAATTTGGGTTCTCATTGTATCACACACAGACCACTGCAGCTGCTTCCAAGACAAAATGGGAACCTGTGTTACCATGATACAGGTTAAGAATGGGAACATTGTCAGCACTCCTGAAATCTCCTACAAGCCCCTCCTAAGTCACAGCCCCCTTATTTCCATCTAAGGGAAACTACTACCCTAAATTCTATGATAATTAATTTCTTTTATTATGAAAGTACTTGTTTCCTTATTTCCTAAGAAAATAAAATTAACTGGGGCACCTGGGGGACTCAGTCAGGTAAGCGTCTGCCTTTTCAGCTCAGGTCATGATTCCGGCCGGGGTCCTGGTATTGACCCCTCATCGGGCTCCCTGCTCAGCAGGGACTCTGTTTCTCCCTCTGCTTGTCAGTCTGCCTGCTTCTGTGCTCTCTCTCTCTCTCTGTCAAATAAATAAATTAAATCTTAAAAAAAAATCTGAAAAAGTCTTTTAAAAAAAGGAAATTAACTATTCTATAACTGATATGTTCTGTTTTTCTTTTTGAACTCTATAAATGGCATCACATAGTACTAGAAATAGTATGAGGAAAGATTCACCACGTTTATGTATACAAAGTATTCTTTTTCTTTATTATGATTTATGACTCAGGTTCCAATTTATCAGTTGAAATATATCACTTTGTATTCACATAAGTAGATATATTAAAATAGTTTTAGTGTATAAGACAGTTTATGAAGATCTTAGCCTCTTTGTACTCTGACCTAGGGAGGAATCTTGAACACAGCAGAAAGCACTCCTTTCTGTGACAGTGCCCTCTGCCGTCGTCACTGCAGGTTGCATTACGATACTACATTGAATTCTGTGAAGAGGAACTGGTCGTTGGCAAGTCTACTTGGTACCTACAGACCCCTATATTAAACTGCATTCAGTTGAGTCAGTTTTCATATAAAATGTTCTTAGAGAAAATGGCATTTTAAAAACTTTTTTTTTTAAAGATTTTATTTATTCATGAGAGACACAGAGAGAGAGAGAGGGAGAGAGAGAGAGAGAGAGGCAGGCAGAGACACAGGCAGAGGGAGAAGCAGGCTCCATGCCAGGAGCCTAACATGGGACTCGATCCCAGGTCTCCAGGATCAGGCTCCAGGCCAAAGATGGCGCTAAACCACTGAGCCACTGGGGCTGCCCTTTTAAAAACATTTTTAAAAGCAAAACACTAACTTATCAAGTAAAAAATTGATATTCCTTAGTGCTCAGAATCTAGTCATTCAAACATTATGTTTCCCTTTTAGTGACAAAATTGATATGAGGAAACAAAAAGCTAGAACTGTGATAATTTGCTTCTAATTTTTAACCCTAATTAAAATATTTAGAATGGAATAAAAATTAAGAAATAAAAATACTTATTTGAGTTTTAGTTTTCTACTGCAGCCATAACAAATTACCACAAATTTAGTGGCTTAAAACAACATAATTTCTCTCACCAGTGTATAGTCTGAAGTCTGGCTAGGCTCAACTGGTTTCTCTAAACCTGGTCACAAAAGGCCAAAATCAGTATGTTGGCAGCACTGGGTTCTGGAGACTCAGGGAGAAACCAGGGCCAGGCTCATCCT